AAAGGTTTTATGGTTTGCTTTCAGTTCAAGAATTGTCGTAATTATACTACAAGCAATAAGTAACCTAGTTTTACCCGACCATAATGCTAACGTCTTTATTAGTCCTGAAGATCCTAACTTGCGTCAAACATACGGCGATATAATAGTAAATAAATTACTAGGTGGTATGAAAAGATGGGATGCACAGTACTTTATACATATTGCCCAATTCGGATATACCTATGAGAATTGCTTGCCATTTTTTCCACTCTATCCTTTAGTCGTAAGATATGTTGCATATGGAGTAAATAGTTTATTTGGAACATTTTTAAATTTTCACAGTACTTTGATGATATCTGCTACAGTTTTAAATATTGTGATGTTTATCAAATCAGCAGATGTATTGCATAGACTCAGTTTAAGAGTGTTACGTAGTGAATGTAGAGCATATAAATCAGTCATATTGTACTGTATCAATCCAGCAAGCATATTTTTCACAGCTCCATATTCAGAAACCTTATTTGCGTGGATGTCTTTTTATGCAATGTTCAAGTGCACAGAAAATGAAAGTTTAAGGTTTGCAAATATTGATATAACAAGTAGCCTGCCTACGGGGCTCTCAATGATCACCCGATCTAATGGCTCTATTAACTTAGGGTTTATATTTTATACTAGTTTCAAAAATGTTATAGAGAGAACTTTACCTGAAATTGTGTACAAATACAAAACATTAAAATATAAGTTAATATTGCCGTTCTTGTTGTTGCCACTGTTCACATCTTTTGTGTCATTGTTTTTAACTGTGATTATAGCAGTGCTGCCATTTATTCTGGTTCAAACATATAACTATGTTAAATATTGTATACCAAGTGACCATAATTTACCTGAATTTTTATCTAATATTGAGTATGTCTTACCTGGTACAGCTGAGAGCCCATGGTGTAACTACACTATTCCAATATCATATTCCTATGTTCAAAGCCATTACTGGAATGTTGGATTTCTAAAATATTATAATTTAAAACAAATTCCTAACTTCATTCTTGCTGCACCAATTATCTTAATATTATTGTACCATAGTTTATCTTATTTTGCCTGTAACTTTGGTTTATGTATTAGACTTGGATTAAAAGTGAATATATTTGGATGTACAAACAAAATGGCTTACAGGCTAAAGCAATATTCTAAATGTTTTGGGGCCAATGATCCTACAATGTTTGTTTATGTAATACATATTCTCTTTCTGTGTATATTTTGCATACTTTTTGTACATATTCAAGTGTCGACCAGGCTTCTTGCATCTGCTAGTCCTATTTTGTATTGGATTTGTTCTAGTAGAATGAATGTAGGTCCTACACCTACCTCTGATCAAAATACTATGAATGAACACTTCCGTCGTATAGGTATTGGGAAGAGAATTCCCTCACATCAGTTGTCAATAGCAAATTTAGAGGGTATTGACAATATGTATAGCAAATGGAAAACATTTATCATATCAAGAAGGATGCCAGACTTTCAATCACGTATGATACAGTATTATTTTATAGGATATTATATTATAGGTACCATTCTATTTTCCAATTTTTATCCTTGGACTTAATCTTTTGCATTCCATACTGGACATATCATTTACGTATCAGATTATAGACTGATGACTATTTATTGACTCTGTTTGTTTATCTACATATCAGTGATAATATTCAAACTGCATTCCATATGAATAGTCACCATTACTAGTGAAATGATAATTCAGACATTGCCTTATTATTAAAACATAATTCAAGATATTATTATATAGATAGTAATGAATATTTTAACAGCATTATTAGTGGTTAATAGTTTTCTGCTTAAAACGGGGCCTTTAAGAGTTGTTTATATTCAATTATGCATCATCAATTATAAAAAGCTTGTATAAAAGTAGATTGTAATAATATTCTTGGATATGAATAGACTGTTTTTCATTCTAGTCATTTATGAAATAATAATTAATACATTTATTACCTAATTTATATTTTATTGTTAAGATCATGTTCAAAGTGAAATTACAAATAGCTAAGAAACATTAAGGTTTCTAATTCTACAAGTACAATAGTATTTGTAGAATTTTTAAGTTATTTTTCAAACTAACATTTATTGGAAAGCTCAAATGAGTAATATTGTTAATTAAAAAAAGTAGAGTAAGAGTTTTCATTGTCTGACAAATGCTTCTGGTCATTTACAATTTAAAGATTCTAAGACAGACTTTTTCAATGTATAATGAAATCAATCTTTTGAAATGGTAACAATTTTGCGTCTAGGATACCTCATAACTAATAATTAGTATTAATGATGTTAAAAGTAAAAACAGTTGGTCAAGTTATATGAAATGAACAAATATGCCTATTGACACATCACAATGTGGTTTACAACCATGTCTAGACTGATCTTAACTGGGTTCCTTGACCTAGTTTGTATACATTCTTTAGAACACATATAACCATCTAAATATTTTTACATTTAAGATCACTAACTGTGATAGGGATTAGTTAGTTATGGTCAGTATTTGATCTATAGAAATCTTAAAATGGAATTGACTTCAAAACACGAATTAGTTGTTTAAGATTTACATGTTAGCTTTGTTATGAAATATATCATGGGACCATCATCAATACCAAAAAAAACAAATGGGTGATCAGAAAAAATCGGTTGAATGATGCTTTTTCATGAATGCTATAAATAATTTAATATATTTATTTATCCTTTAGCTACCGAATGCCAGCTTTCAGAAGTATATTACACATAGGCCGTCCATTTTAAAATAGTTCTATAATAGCTAGTAACATTTTAGGATTCTTAAAATGTCCCACTTTCTCATATCTCCATACCATAGGTCCACTCGCGAATTAATTTTATCGCAATTTGCTACCTTATCTAAAAAGCAATACATTTTTAAGATTAGTAATTAGCTTTTGCTAAATATTGGAATCCGCTTTATGCTAGAATATAAATACACTTTTTATGAATTTACTATTGTAAGGTTAAAGGAAGTCTTATCATGTTAATAAAATATAATGAAATCGTAACACGCAATATTGCAGTTTTGTCAACATTTAATTTATTATGGTTGTGAAGTTTTAATAATTTCAAATATTGTTAGCTTAAAACTGCACTAATTCCATCTTCCTTTGTATTGTTTATATAATTAGATTAAAATAAACACAAATCACAATATATTAAATGGTTTATTTATTTCTTGTTTCTTATTACCAATTCAATGTATTTATTATTTACATTGGTAGACCATGTAATCTAAGTTTCAGCAAGTTGTCCTGTGAGTGGTTTTTAAGATACAAATTTAAGAATAGAAATTTAAGTAATCTACACTCGTACAACAATTGACGACTGCACGGATAGCGTAGTGGTTTAGCGGTCACCTTGTCGCTTCCTACTGAACTAAGTGTTGTGTGTTCGCTCCCCACGTAGGAAAACACTGTAATTCACAAATTGTTGTTCAGAGAATGTGTGTTCTTTGTGTCCGTTATATGTTTGTAAAGTCCCCTGCAACACAGGATATATTCCTAATGCGGGAGTTGTCTTATAAAAAAATATAAAATAAATTTAAGTCACACAGTTTAAAATACTTAAATACATTATAAATTACTCGTCCTTTTCCTGGCGGTTTGTTTGCAAGATTCCAACTTTCTCAGGAGTCCAACTTTTATAATATCCATACAAGGTTCACGTGAGTCCAACTTTTATTTTTATGTATTTTTATTAGCACTATTCCAACTGTACGGTACAGTTTTAAACATATATGTTCAAAGAGCGTTCTCCTTCCTTAAAGGCCGGCAACGCGTTTTTGACTCCTGAGTTGCAGACGTTCATGGGCGGCGATGGTCACTTTCCATCAGGTGACCCGTCGGCTCGTCAGCCCCCTCTGACGTAAAAAAAAATAGAAACTCGTGTAGTTTTTATAGAGAAAAATAACAATGTCATGTATTAACTTATGAAAAATAAATATGAAGTTATTGGTTTCAACGTTGCTTCCTAGTATCAACAATGAATAAATTTGTGTTTATTAATACCGATAGAGCTCGGAGAACATTTTTATTGAAAGGTAACCGTTATTATTATTAAAAAAACCAACAAAAGTGGTTCAACTATTTGGATTTTTCACAAAAGAGCTTGCAGAGCAACAATAACGATGTATGAAGAAAAAGAGACTGTTTCGCGTGAAATTTTCCACCTATGCAAACCTGATGAGAAGATCAATTTGGTCGAGCAAGCACTCGCGGAATGTATATTAAAAGTACAAACTGATTAAGACTAAGACAAGCAAGTGATAATAAGAGGAAATAAAAGAAGTCGGAAATACTCAGCAGTTCGCCCTACAAACTACAACTTGAAAAAGAGAATGAAGACAAAAATATACAAAAAAACATTAAGAAAAATATACTAATAAAAGTACATTAAAAACTGGACTCAAGCGAAGACTTGTATGGATGTTATAAAAGTTGGACTTCTGAGAAAGTTGGAATCTTGCGTACAAAGGTGCGTACAAAGGGACAGGTATTGAAAGGGGCAATTCAAATTACCGGTAAAATAAGAATCCAATAAGAATTGCCATACAAGAAAAATATTTTTCTTGTATAGCAACTCTGATGTACATTAATTCGCAGCTAAACTTTATACTGCTGTCTCTTTTAAGATGGCGACGGAGTGTGAGTTTTTGTACGTAAAAGCATTTATTTTATAGTTTTTAGAAATGCTTTGGAGCATTTTATAAATTATAAAGTCATTTGTTTACCACTTTTTCTGATCGACTGAATAAAGACAAATACAAGAAAGAAAGGTCAGTAAACTTTTACTCATTGATCGTCAGTTTTATGATTATGTTTTAATTTGTGTGTGATATTTATTAAAGGGACACTACAAACGGGGTATGAATGGGACGTCCCTTACATAACTATCTCTTTAATGGCGGATATTTTGTTTTGATTTTACTACAATATCTTTTTATATTTCTTGTAGTTTACCTAAATATGCCACATAAAAAGAAACCCCGTGTTGAAGCACAAACAATTGAACAAGCTGTAAATGAAGTGATACAGAAAAGGATTTCTGTAAGATTGGCTGCTAAAGCATTTAATTTAAGCAAATCACATTTACACAGATTGGTCTTAAAAGCCCAAGCATCTAAATCTACCTCTAATCTGTTTATCAGTCAAATATCGGTAATAAAAAAGTTTTCACAACAGAACAAGAATGTTCTCTGGCAGATTACTTGAAGACCTCTGCAAAAATGTGCCATGGCTTGACAACTTAACAAGTTAGAGAACTATAACCCGGCAATCTCGTGCGCGACCGTCCTGCGGGGTGACAGACAGTGGCGGGGGCGAGGTAGCGCGTCATTCTAGCACACGGCTACACACGAAGAGAAGCGTTTCCCTTCCCCGCTACCCGCTGACATCTTGAGTACCTCGTCCCCGCCACCGCCTGTCACCCCGCAGGACGGTCGCGCACGACGTTAATGGACTATAGCATATCAGTATGCTATTCGTCTAGGACTAAGTGTACCACCTTTTTGGGAAAAAAATAATATAGCTAGCATAGACTGGCTGAAAGGTTTTTTTAAAAAGGAATAATTCTCTAAGCGTCAGAAAACCAGAGAATACTTCAATAGCAAGAACTACGAGCTTCAATAGTTACAACGTCCAAACCTTTTTTAGTAATTTGGAGAAATGTTACCTTAAACACAATTTCTATCCATATATAATATGGAATTTAGATGAAACTGGGTGCCTTAAAGATAGTTGCGCAAGCAGGTGCTAAAAGAGTTGGTCAAATAAGCTCAACAGAACGTCGCACCCTTGTAACAATGCTGGCTTTTGCAAATGCTGCTGGCGGAAGTATTCCTCCTGCTTTTATATTTGCGCGTTTATTTTAGGGATCATATGCTCGAGAACGGTCCTACTGGTGCTTTAGGGCTTGCAAATGTATCTGGTTGGATAACAGAAGATTGCTTTTTGAAAACTTTAAAACATTTTCTTCAGATCGTAAAGCCTACTGCTGAATCACCTGCTTTAATAGTCCTCGACAATCATAAAACTCACATCACTATCAATGTCATTCTTTATGCCAAGGAAAATAATATTATGATACTAACATTTCATCCTCACTGCAGCCACCGCTTACAACCCCTCGATGTTTCCGTTTTTGGACCGTTTAAAGCTCGGTATAGAGCTGGCATTAATGACTGGATGACATAAAATCCTGGCAAAACGGCCACAATTTACAGTGTTGCTGGATTTGCTAAAGATGATTTCTACGCTGTTTTTAACATGAATAATATAACGTCTGGTTTTAATAACACTGGCATATGGCCTATTAATAAAAATATTTTCACAGATGAAGATTTTTACCTTCCTTCGTCACAGATCGACAACAGTCAGCTCAAAACAGTACTGCTATTATAGACCACTCTAATGAAACAACTGACCAACTGCAACATGGACCTTATTTTGTTGAACCGGAGTATATTTCGAGAACACCTTCACCTTCCCTTTTAGATAATACAGAATTTCAACCTTTTATTTTGAGTGAGACAACAGAATCCCTCTACTCGGAATGAGCCACAACCTGGATGTTCAACACAACAAGATCCATATATTTTAAATGAGCCGCAACCTGGATGTTCTAATTCTAAAACGTCACATTCTGATGCCACAAATTCTTTTCATTTTCTAATAACTCTGGAAATTATTAGACTATATCCAAAAGCGTCGCCACGAAAAGCTACTGGAAAGCAACGTAAACACAAAAGCACAATTATAACAGAAACACCTGAAAAAGATAGATTGCTTATGGAAAACATGATGGATATCTTCAAAAAGAAAACGCCCAAAGCTAACAAAGAAAATAAAAGACATGTAAAACAAATTTTCAAATGCAAATTGCAAAGTAATGTGAAAGGAAAAAAAACAGACTCGAAGAAATGTGTCAAAGCTAATCATAAAAAGAGGAAGGCTGCTCAGAAATTTTCAAGCAGTAGCAGCAATAATTCTTTGTAAGTACAGTTACTGATTCTGACTCAATAAATGATTTTTCAGAGATTGAAGAATTCACTCCAAAACTAAGGCATCGTAGCCAGAGAAAAAATAACTCAGATGATCAAGTGTGCCATGTTTGTAAGGAGAGATATTCTGTAAGCATTGAAGATTGGTATCAAAGTAATATTTGCACGAGATGGGTGCATGAAACTTGTGGCATTAAAGGTGTCTTTAATTATTTTTTTTGCTCATTATGTCACTAATAATCAATATTATTGTCTAAAAAAATCAGTTTTAACTTAAACCAAATATATGCTGTTGATTGTTATTAACTTTAAGAAAATAATTATAAAAACTGTCGATTACAGATTCTTTAATCTATTTTTTATTAAAGTCATATTTTATGTTTTGCTCTCGTTGTTATTAATAATTAGAATACCTATTATCAATGTTATAATAGTTACGAATGTTACTTAAAATTAAATATTATTAAACAAGTTTTAGTATGTTATAAGGGCCTTTCTCTACTAACAGGAAAATCATGGTCCAAGCATGTTTTTTTTTATTTTGGCTATATTAATGCATAGTTCTATTTATCAAAACACATAATATATAACCTGTTATTTAAGGAGCCAAGCTTAATCAATATTTAGAATCATAATCATTTCATAAATTCGGTCTAAAAGCCACTAAAAACAGTCCTCTGTTATGTCCTAATTCTGGATCGAGTATGATTCGGTTCGGTTTTTATTAGTTGTATTTAAAAATGTAAAATCTTATTACTCTATGAACATAAAGAATATTGAATGCATGTGAACAAAAAACAATTATAATTTTAGAGAATTTTTTTGTACTAAAAACTAGTGTTTGAATTTTGTCCGATACATTTTTGAACAGTCCTCTGTCACAATTTGAATATCGCGCCACAAAAATATTAAACACTATTGTGGCTACATTTCGCGTCAAATGGAACATTAACAGTGTGAAGTTTGCTCGGTTGCCATCCTAAACAAGTCGCCGCCATTTTTCCCAGTGACAACTCCGCGTCTGTGTGGGAGCCACGTCTCTGTAGTGTTGAGTAAACATTCCTCTGGTAAGTCTATTTTACGGTATTTTATGTGTTTTAATTATATTTATTTTACAAAAAAAATTGCTCAGTGTGATAATTTATAGCTGTTTCTGTGTTATGAATTAATATTTAAACTTATACGTGGTATGACATTTTTTACGTAAAAATAACAGTCCTCTGTGCAACAGTCCTCTGGAAATTTATAACACAGAGGACTGTTCAATGTGACAGAGGACTGTTTTATTTGACGTCCGTGTATTTTATTAATATTCTTTATAGTCTGCACTAACCTACTGCTTGCCGATAGCCTCTTTCTTTCTTACATTGGCCTGTCACGCTAATTCAGGTCTTTTGTTTTCTATTATGGATTTTGGAATATAAAATAATACGTACCTAGTAACTACCTGTTTTTAAACCCTTACGGTTTTTTTTTTAATATTGAAAGTATGTTTTATTGTTTTAGTATTGCCGCAATGCCACCAAAGAAGAAACCTAAAACCAAAGAAGAAATAAAAGAGCAGAAACGAATTGCAGAAAGATTAAGATATCAACGGCTAAAGAATGACCCTGTAAAAAGAGAGCAATTGAAGGAAAAAGAACGACGAAACTACCAAAGAAAGAAGGAAAAAGGCATAAGAAAGTCAGTTAAAGATATGAATCGACGTGAACACAAAGCTGTGACTAAAGAATGGAGAAAGCACTGTGCTACATATCGCGCAAAAAAAAAAAGCTTTGAAAGAAATTACAAACAATTTTGTACGACATAATACGCCCGAATCCGAGGGTTCACCTTCTCCTCAAAGTTCTGTCGCTCCATCAATACTACCTATGACCACTCCACGAAGTGATGCAAGTAATGCGAGAAAGCGTAATGCTAGAAAGAAACGTGACAAAATTATAAAGGATAAAGACAAAAAGATCGAGTATTACAGAAAAAAATCCGAGAAGTATAGGAAGAGATTAGAACGTTTGGAAAAAGCTAAGACAAAGAAAAATGTAGACACACCTAACACTAAACTGACCGAAATGTGTGATTCGCCAGGAGCTCGCAGAGAAGTAGTCAAAAAGGCGCTATTCGGTGAAGTGTTGAATGCCCAGCTGAAAGAAAACTACGCTAATTTAAAAACCTGCAAAGAGAAACAAATATTCGGAAAAGTCGTGTCCGGTAAACTAATACACAAGTACAAGTTATGGCGAAGCAAAGATAGTTCCATATCTTATAAAACTATTCAGAAGTCAGCGCGTCAATCGGGTTTAGTACCCAAGCCTCGGACTCGCAAAGACAAAATTTCATCTGATTGCATAAGTACTGTACGAACCTTCTACGAAAATGATGACAACAGCAGACTTGGCGCAGGAAAACGAGAATGCCTGACCAGAAAAGGGGTTAAAAAACAGAAAAGATATCTATCGGATAGCATTGGAAATTTATACAAGAAGTTTCAAGCTGAACATTTTAAAATAAGCTACCCAACGTTTTGTCGTCTACGTCCTTTCTGGGTCATAACACCAAATGTAAACGAACGTAACACGTGCCTCTGTATTAAGCACGCGAACATCGATCTGAAACTGTCAGCATTGCACAGAAGAAGAATTTTGACTTACAATAGTCACACTGCACTGCTTGAAAAGACATGTTGTAATCGCTATGACGAGCTATGTTTGTCACGAACCTGCCAACGCTGTATTGACAAAAATCCTGACTACAGGGAGTTTGATGACAGCAAGCCTATTGAATTTAAACAATGGATATCTGAGAAACAAACTTACAACGACCCCAAGATCAAGAATGCTCGAACAGTTACCAAATACCTAAAGAAAATGTTCACGGTTCGCCCTCGAGAACTAATAGAAGAGCTGCACGAGGATTTGGAAGCCTATTATCAACACGAGAGAAACATTACCCATCAATACAATGCTATCAAGAAATACAAACAAAACCTTACCGACGAAGACGCTATCATACATATGGATTTTTCAGAAAATTATTGTTCCAAATACGGTGAAGAAATACAAGCATTTCATTTTGGAGGGTCGAGACTTCAGCTAAGTCTTCATACTGTGGTAGTGTATACCAAAAAGTCTATCAAGTCTTATTGTACCGTTTCCAAAAATCTCACACATTCACCAGCTGCTATATGGGCACATTTGCGGCCAATCTTTAAAACTCTCCCACCTAACATAAAGAGCATTCACTTCGTCAGCGATGGACCCGTAACTCAATACAGAAACAAAACGATGTTTTACATCCTGGCATCAAGGCTTCAACAAGAGGTTTCAAATGTGAAGAAGTTTACCTGGAACTATTCAGAGAGTGGCCATGGCAAAGGGGCCCCTGATGGTATTGGAGCGACCTGCAAGAGAACCGCTGATGCCGTCGTCGCTACAGGAGGTGATATTGATAACTTGGAATCATTTGTAGAGGCCATTCAACGAAGATGTTCCGCAATTACCTTGTTCACAATCGACGATAAAGCCATCCAAGAATTGACAGACGGCCTTCAAAATGAAACAGTTAATTTAAAAAGCTTTAATGGCACTCTTAAAATACATCAAGTAAAGGCTGAAATATTAAGAAGTCCTCTGGAATTAGCTCCAAAGGCCGCTAAACTCATAATGAAAAGTTTAAGTTGCACTTGTGAAGACGAGTGCCAGCATTTCAATTTAGGAGTGTTAGAGTACAAAAACAAGACAAAACTTAACGTAGATGATATTTACACAGACTCTGAAAGTGAAAACATGGACAACTCACAGGATTCCACAATGGAAACCGAAGACGACGGTGCACTGGCTGGACCTAGTTCAATCAACCAACAGAATTACACCATCGGTGATTACGTCTTGGTTAAATTTCTAGTAAGAAATACTGAATATTGTTATGCTGCAGTAATCAATAAGATAGACACGGAAGAAGGCGAACTAACAGTAACCTTCTTAAAAATTTGTGATGACAAAGGACACACATTCAGAGTCGATGAAAATGATGTTTCTGATGTGCCCTTTGACCAAGTAATAAAGAAGTTGCCAAACCCAGATGTTGCCCTAAAAGGGAAACGAATATTTTATTATTTTAATATACCTGTACCTGTTTTTGAGAAATAAGTCTGCATTGATAAGTAAACAAGGCTGATTCTTAGTACCTAAGCTTAATTTTGATTATAATTATTTTAATTTGTTACTTAGAGAGCTAAGCTCGCAATTTGTTCCTGATTTATCATCAATACTTATAAGTATTTAAATTCTGTATGTGATTTAGTATTAAATAAAGAAGAGAATTTATTTGATTACATTTAATAATTAATATTGTATTTTGCTTCATATAAACATTGACATAAACTGTTCTCTGGATGGAAAAAACAGTCCTCTGGGTGGCAAAACAGTCCTCTGTCGCATTTTTTTACAAAATTGCCTATAATTCGAAAAATAAGGGAAAATTACAATGGTTTCTTGTTTATATGTACTTAATTATAACTATCTATCGACTTAACATATAATATTTTTAATTTTCTAGAAAAATAGGGTTGGGACAACTGTCAATAGACAAGTTTCCAGTTAGTAGAGAAAGGCCCATAAAGTAGTTTTATTTTAATATTACGTACTGTCCTTTTCAAAAACTAGCGTGTCCCTTTCAATACAGTCCATTTATGAAAGACATAATGCACATTTTAGAAAGTTGTTAAAATATATTACTGTGAAAAAAGATAAATAAGTTGCTTATAATGTAATGTAGACTTTACTTTCAGTTCTATCCTGTTCAAAATGTTATCCCGGTCATTTTCTAGAGCCTCTACAAATAAAATGTCCCTTTCATCCCACCTCTCCCCTATTACGCGACATTTGTTTGCTTCGTGTTTCTTATTTGAAAAATAACTGTCGCCTGATCAGAGGCATTGTTTGTGCAATTTGCATGGTCACAAATTATATGACAAAATGACATGTTATTCATAATCCCTAACTATAGTTTTTAGATTTTCTTTGAATATTATAAAATTTATTTGGCAAATTGTCACCAAAAAAGTTACCAATTTGTTAACTCAGTAATCTGTCAACAGTTGGAAATATATTTAATCTACCAAGTTTACAACTGTACAGTCTTATAGCTAATTAAAATCTAGGATATAATTGTGTATGTGCCATTTTGATTCTTACGGGGCACATTTAATTTAATTATGCTCTTTATGGTGTTACTTATTCGTTACATTCTGCGTTAAAGTCAGCGGACGCGGTTTTTGGGGAGGCCTCAGTGGAATTCGAGTGTCGCGACAAAGAGACGGAGAGGTCGGCGACGGGGACGGCTGTGGCCTCCCCGTCGCCGGCGTGTCCCTACGCCACGGCCAGCGCCTCCTGCAATCGTTGACGAGCGCGGCGCACGCGCTCTTCTTGACGCCGAACGTCGTCCTTTGTGATAGTCACTGCTGCAATGAGCGGCTGCTCAGGGTTTAAAAAAACACCAGGGTTTTCGAGTATAGATTGCTTGGGACCGTTCTGACCTGAAAATAGTGTGATAATTATTAAAGTTACGCTTGTACAAATGGAGTAACGGTGCGGATAGACACCAATTGATGAAGACAGAATATCCACTTATTATATTTTGATATTAAACAAACTATTTGATATTTTTCGATTTCGACGATCTGGACTGTCTCACCTTTTTTTTTTGACGTGGCGGAAAATCCCTTCGGAAAATCTAATTGACTGACTAACGAAGTCTCACCCACGGGTTTAATAAACCGATCGCCAGTGTTGATTGTCTAACACGTCTGAAGTATATATTCTATATCCTCAGCGTACTGTATAGTGACTGTGAAGATATTCTATCAGTCGTGCGACTTGCATTCGAGTAGAAATTTTGCTGTGCCCTACCTCGTGCAATTATAAACATATCTAAATCTATTTATAAAATTTAAGATAGATACTAGTTCTGATAAGAAAATCCAATAGTTCTTGTTAGATTAGAAATTTAAACTTTCTTTTTTCGCCATTACAGTTAATGGATACATTATATGCCCGTTTCTTACCTGCACCAGTAACCTGCATATTATTTTATACACTGTAGGTTTTAAATTTTCATGAACGATGAGTAAAATAATTCCCTTCAGCTCATGTTACTATTAGCATAATATATCCTTACCGGCAATGGGTTGGGATGATACGTGGAGAGCTGTAGCTAGGGATTGAATGATTGTAGCGTCCGTATTATAAGGGCCTAGTGGTTTGATGTATTTAGGCAAAGAAGTAGTGCCTATAACTCCATTAGCGTCACAGGCAGTTAAACCCTGAAAATTGAATAATAGATCACCATGAATAGGCCTTTTATAATTATTTACTAAAACTTAATAAACCAGACAAATCCACATCATCACATTTAAAATAGACTAGTTGTGATGTGAAATGAGGAAAACCATGCTGCCAAGAAACCTATAGATAAAAACTATCTTTGAAGCGGTTTGGATATCGTGTCAAAATTTGAGATCAGAACTTTTCGAATTTTTGAAGCGTACACAAGCCAACTTAACTCGAATTCGACATTCAAACAAATTTTATTCGAAATACATATTATTTTAATTTAAAATTCAGACATTTGTTTTAGATAGTGTTTTGTTTTTGTGAAATAGTCGTAGTTTTTGGCTTCAAAAATAAACTGAAAATTCCTACGTGGAACTACCGCTGCACAAACAACACGAAAAAATAACAACGAGTACGGGCCTAACACAGCTTGCAAAACATGGTCCATTATTGGTTAAATGTTTAGGATCTGAATTTTTTAGTTCAAGAACTAGCATCGCGGCCAGGTGGTAACTTTAGTCGAATACGACGAATTGAAGGCGATAGTTGAAGCGTATCTACCTCAATCTACGGCTGAGCTTGCTGGGCTGGATGGCTGGGCTTTGGAGTTAGTTACAACACTGAAGCACTTGCGTCAAATCGGTAAGATAGATAAGTTGGTGCCACACTAACAAAGCGATCATCAGCGAGTCTTACTACTGAATCGGCATAAAAAAGAGGAATTCTGAATCGAATCATTAACTGGAATGAAAAGTGGATCCTGTACGACAACTGTAAGCGTTCGTCTCAGTGAGTGGACCCATATTTAGCATCTAATCAGTGCGCTCTAAAAAAGATTACCCATAGGAAGATGATGGTGGGTGCACCAGTGCCGGACTGTAAAAGTAATCACACAGCTTCTAATCGAGTGGCACAACAGTGACGACATTGCCAAGAATTGCAAACAATGATGGAGAAGCTCGCTATTCCACAACCACGACTGGTCAATCGCTCTTCCCATTGCTTGTCCACGGTAATGTGCGAGTTCACATTTCACGACAGACCACCGCAAAGCATAAGAGTTACAGCGTGAAGCTTTCCGTCACCCACCGTACTCACCGGACCTTGCCCTAACAGATTTCTACTTTTTTCAAAATTTAGACATTTTTTAAGTAGGAAAAAATTCAACACCTGAGTGGCAGTACAAAATGGTTACGCTGACTTTATCCAGCACACTTCTAGAGTAAAGGGATAAAAAAACTGCCATCAAAATGGCAAATTTGTATAAATAATTTAGGCCAGTACTTTGATTAGCTTAAATAAAATAATAACCAAAATTTTTATATTTTCAAATTTTTATACAAATCCAACTTCATAGGTAAAAGACCTATAACGGGCGTTATAATATATATTCCAAAAAATGAAATAACAGATAACACGGTTCAATATACGTCGGTTAAAATAAAAAATAGTACGGAAATACAGAAATGCAAATTTAAAACAAACTAAATACAATAAAATAATTTCCGAATTAGAACACCATTGATAACATGAGACGGTGAACTGTACATGGCAACGTCGCAATGCCGGCGACATCAAAGCGAGCCGCGCCGCCGCCGCGACGAGCCGGCGAACTTTACATTCTTATTACCTACCTACTAATCACTTCACTTGCTTTTTTAAATCTATTTATTAAGAATACGATTTTATTCACGTGTTTATTTTGGGAATGCTCGACTAGCTTCGAACCCGGCAGTACGTGTCACTCCTTAAAAAAGTAGGTACTTTGGTTGTCTCGTAATCTTTGTACCGCCCCCTCAAAAATTCGGCAGTCTGTAGGACATACACGATTGACTCCATACCTGTCCGTAAAGCAAAAGATGCGTTTTGATAGAGTTTCCCATAAATTAACATCATGGCAGGATATTCCGCGGCTGTGAAGGTCACTCATGGCATTATGGATGTTGATACCGATAACCCAATAAAATTAAAAGACTGATAATTCACTCAGTTTCACACTACACTACACACAGAACCTAATATTGTTTTTAAAATAAAATTAGCAGGACTCGTTACATTACGAAGTCTTGCGCACACGATAACATTAATTGTTCAAACCATTGCCGTGTATTATGACGAAAGCAATAAGACTAAACAATTATTACCACAAGAAAACTTTTCTAAACAAATATGTATCTCATGAACAACAACAATATTATTATTACGGTTATTTGTCGTGAGCGCATCTACAAGGATACAGAATAGCATAACACTAGCCGGTGGCCAAGGGCCGACTGACTGTCCTTACTGGATGAACTAATTCAAAACGGGTGTCCTTCATCGTGATGATGCAATAATCAACATATTTCGTTCGATTCGAGTGTAGTAAAAGTGGCAACGTGTGATTACCGCGCCGCGTATACAGCTGATCGCCGCCTGAGGTCAATGTATTATGACTGCATGTACACATGATGTTGCAAATTACGAAAACAAAAAAAAATGTCCTGTTTCTAAACCACTGAATATTTTTTGTTCATATTTTGCAAATCGTCTAGAAATAATATGCAGAATATGATGTTAAAAGCTTTGTGATAACATAAGGGACACGCGGTATATGGTGGTTCATGACAAGCGCAATCCGTCTTTGGAAACTTCAGGAATATATTCAGGATTACCTCACACACCTTGTAGTGTAAGAACTCTTAAAAAAAAATACTTACTTCCAGCCTCTTCTCCCAAAATAATTGTTTGGGCTTTTCTTGCGTACCATGTTTGAGATCAGTTTTGACTTTACTCTCTTGTGTTTTATATACTGTAACAGGTTGCTTGAATATTGAAGCAGTTTGACGAATTGGTGGCACCAAAGAAGCATCTGAGCGGACACCCCTGTATTAAAAACATTATGGTTAGAAATAAGGTATATAAAAATAACGGCTTCATTTAAAGTATTAAGGTTAATCAAAATTTGTTTTGTTAATGATCAATGTATTGTTGATATCAAATAGAATTTAAACCAAGGGCTTTACAAATATATGCCCTTCGAAGGAAACTGGCTACTTTCGACCTTTTGTAAAAATTGACTTAGTAGAGTTATTTCCACTCTATAGATTTACCACACCTTTCACTAACAGTGCTTGACACCCCTATAGGTACACAAGTAAACAAACAGTATGTGTTAAACATATTGCCAAATGACAAGCGAAAATTTACAAAATGTCACTAAGTTGCCTTTTCTTTATCAGGGTTGACATGTAACAGTTACTAATTATTAAATTGTACTTTAAACATGCTAAAATATACCATTCAAAAATATCACACAAATTACATGCTACGGAATGAAAGCAACTGTATAACACAAATACAACATTTACTAACCACCTTTAATACAAAGAGAAAGATGTTGGTGTGGCTCATGTGAATAAAATGGTGATGATTGTGAGGGATTAACCTATTTGTTAGTAGTTAATGACATTCTTACTGATGACCTGACACAAACAATCTGTTACATTTTAAAGTACTAGCAATATGCCCCACAGATATGTTTTACTTTTTGTTTCATAACATGGTAATTATGAGCTAGTAACAATAACATGCTGTGAAGTGGCATTGGCGCTGGATGTTGACTGGTGATGCATTATAAGCTTTACTATTAATATTTATGCTGTAGTAAACATCACTTGAAATTAACACAAGCTCTTGCAACAAAAGACTTGTATGGTCAACTATCAGCTCAGCAGCCTGTGTTTTTTACCTTATTGTTACCTACAGGTTTATTGTTTGAAAAAACAAATGAGTCTTTAGTGTAACACCTGACATTTCAAACACCTGACAACCAACTCTAGCACCGCACCCACTCATTGGTCAAAACAAATAGCACTCTTCACAGTAATACAACAAGGTGTGAATACATTTTATTATTATTTAATTTATTTTGTTATTTTTTAGAAATCTTTTAATAATTCATATTCAAAATTGTCTCATTAAGCTAACATGATTAGGATGGCTAGCATGAATTAAACTACAGCTATCACAATATTGTAGAGGATAATTTAGGCCCACATTTTCCTTCAAATGTCTGTGTTAAAATTGATATGAAAATTCATACTGCATACACTCACATGGAAAAATTCTAAATCCATTTTTATTAAAGCTAAATCAACAGTTTTTAAGCTACACTCCTAAAATTTGAACACCTTTCTGTAGCACACTTTATAATCTCATACTGGCACACACACATTCTAATCTCTTATGATTCTGTAGCTACCTGTCAAGATTTATACAGTAGCAAAATAATAAACAAACTTACATCTGTTATGACAAACTCATCAACTCATATTCAGAAGATCATCTTGTTCATTGTTATGGCACAATTAACATGAACCATAAAATAACTTAAAGTAGTCAGTAAAATTATTTATTATATAACTTATTAAGTAGTGTTCTAAACTTTAATGAAACATATTTTTTTTTCTGAAGTTGAAGTGGTATTAGAGGTAGTGGCTATCATGCTGCAAGTATTTACAAACAAATAAAAAGGTTAGGTCATATATTTCCTATTACAAATAAAAGCAGCTGTGATACATTCTATAATGATACTTTGGCTATGATATATGAAGTGGTGAAGCTCTAAAAAGGCTAAGCTAAAGCTTGTGTAGGGATTTAATTAAGATTTGAACAGGTTGTATCACTGGTTTGTGTGAAAAGAAACAAGTGCATTTTTGATGTAGTATAAATATCCATTACAATGATTATGTTTCAAACAAATTAAAAATAATTAAAAACATAATCAATGTTCACACACAAAAGTAGGGACAGATCTAATACCTAGGCACACTATTAAAGCTTCTAATCAACAGCATTATAAATACAGATGGGACACAAAGCAGGACTGCACTAATGATCACAACACAAGTGAAAGAAGTTATGACACTTATGGGAACCTGTAATCAAACTGCGCTCGTGCTTTCTTGGCCTTGCACAGCAGCATTGTGTTTATTTGGCCCTGTTGAAAGTCGAAACACGAAAGGTCCGTACTATCACCAAGATAACGGACTAGCTCCGCTTTACTGCGAAACTTTTTACCTGTTGGGCTATAGAAAATTAAAACTTAGGACCAGTCTGCCAAGAGCTGATGTTGTAGTGAGCATCGGTTAATACCTGATTTAGTGATGGAGATGTAAATGTTGAGTTAGCCATGTTAAGACCATTTTGTAAATAACTTAATAAATAAACATTAATCCCTTCTACTTGCAAACTGTGTAAAATTTGTTTACAACATTGACTCCGTTAAATAATTCAATAATAAAACTTCATTTTTATGTTTTGTTCTTACTGAAAATCAGATTTATTGATATTTAAATTAAATCGTCGTCTAGTTCTAACACATTTCAATAGGATAATTATTTAATTATATATAATTAATACCTTTTCATCGAATATTGTCTTTTAAAAGTTAAAGCAGTCTTTGTTACTGTAAGTATAATGGGTACCAAAACAAAAAATAATTAAATAAATACCTATAATAATAAACATCAACTTTGCCGGCAGACAAACCAGTTTTCCTTAGAACTTCCTCTCTTTGCCAACCTTTAGGTAAGGCCGAGCAATCTGATCTTTTTTTTTCTATGGAAATATTCATAGTGCTCATCTCTCGTAAATTCGTCACACTGTCTTGAGTTCCTGATTATCACGAAAACTATTAAGTTTTTAAAATAAAAATAGGCCTACTTGTACGCATAGATTATAATGTATATACTAGAGACTTGTACGTATATACGTAAATGTGACCATAGACAAACTTTTAGACTTTTAGTTTATGGTTTTAGCCATAAACTAAAAGTCCAAAAGCTGATACTAACCACAAATTAAGAGATATGATACTAACTATGGAGACTAATGTGACCAGAGATATGAGTAAAACATCATTTTGGCACTTTCTTTAAAAAAATATCGGACGAATATTAACGGACACTTATCACACTCAGAGATGGTTCTCCTTGCCTCTACCATCCATAATTTTAATGGCACTTGTCTTTGTCTATGACCACATCACAGTAGCGATTAATCACAGGTGTAATCGCAGTAACTGAAGCCAATAATTTCTTCGTATGATTATAAATTTGGAAATAACAACAATTTCCATCACTACTGTGCTCCATAATTTAAAGGTGTCATGTCATGCATTCCTATTGTTATCAGATTTCCTGTTACATTTTGTTGTTAATCTTGTTATGGTATTGTTTTTAGACTTTTTGTTACATTTTGTTGTTAATATTGTCAGAAATAAATACACATATACATGATATATTTAATATTCTGAATTAAATAAATTTTTCGTAGCCGTTGTCGTAGTGTGGTAGTATAATTCACGAGAACAATATTGTTTTTTTCTAGGCGCGGTATAATAATAAAAAAAATATTACTAATTTTTTGTAGCCGTTGTCGTAGTGGGGTATTATAATTCAAGAGAATAATATTGTTTTTTTCTAGGCTCGGTATAATAATAAAAAAAATATTACTAATTTTTTGTAGCCGTTGTCGTAGTGGGGTATTATAATTCAAGAGAATAATATTGTTTTTTTCTAGGCTCGGTATAATAATAAAAATTAATTAATAATAAAAAATAGTATAGGCAAAGTCACGTGCGCAAGCTTGTAGTGCTATCTTTTGTGCACTCTGCTGCTGTCTGTACAAACGCGTGTCTGTGACGCCACCGCGTTCAGGTCGCAACTTATCGCGTACGGGTAGTAGGCACATATACCGGGTGTTAGAAAAGTACCGGAATAGCAGTATAATTCGCTAGGGTGCATTTTTTGGAAATTCGTTGAACACAAAAGTTACAGGATTTTTTCCTGGCTATTCACTGGTGACATTGAAATTGACCTTGATCAATGACTAAGAACAATTTTTAAATGGGATTGCATATTTTTGAGCCCAGAATTGAAAAGAATGAAAAAATTACAATTGAATCTAAGGTCTTCACTGAATAGCCAGGAAAAAACGATTAATCTTGTAGCTTGTCTCTTGGCTGAAGAGAATAACAAATTTCCTATGGTTTTACGAGTTTGTCCTTGGATTTGTGACCTTTAGAGGTTAAAATTTGCGTACGAAGGTCATATCCAATTGTAATTTTTTCCTCTCTTTTCAATATCGGGCTCAAAATATGCAATCTCATTTAAAAATTGCCCTTGACCCTTGAGATGACCTTCAATGTTGTGATCAAGGTCACCAATGGATAGCTAGGGAAAAATCCTGTTACTTTTGTGTTTAACGAATATTCTGCTGTATCGGTACTTTGCTATAATAATAATAATATATTCTACCACATACACACAACGCCATCTAGTCCCAAACTAAGCAGAGCTTTTACTATGGGTACTAGACAACTGATAAATACATATATACTTTTTTTTTTGTAAATACATACATATTATACATAGAAACACCCAGACCAAATCAAACATCAAATGTTCATGCACACAAATGTTTTTCTTCTTCAAATGTTTCTTCATCTATACTAATATTATAAAGCTGAAGAGTTTGTTTGTTTGTTTGTTTGTTTGAACGCGCTAATCTCAGGAACTACTGGTCCGATTTGAAAAATTATTTCAGTGTTAGATAGCCCATTTATCGAGGAAGGCTATAGGCTACATATCATCACGCTAAGACCAATAGAAGCGGAGCACCTATGAAGAATGTTTAAAAAACGGAGAAAATTTATTACCATTGAGAGACGCAGACGAAGTTGCTCGGGTCAGCTAGTTCTGTATATAGTTTTTAGCCCTCGCATCCAGTCCAGCCCTTAACTTTACTTACCTTAACTTTTTCTGTATTTAGAGACTATAAAAAAACTAAAACTGCTAACAACAATTAAAATAGTATATATGGCAAAAAGATGTTTAACTTAATGATCTATAATATAATAAGTGCTTCATGCGAAACTAACAAACACAACAATTCAATAAAATATAAGTTTTATGAAATAGGAATCTACACTTTACATGACTGCACGGATGGCGTAGTGGTTTAAGCGGTCGCCACGCCGCTTCCTACTACGCCGAGTGTTGTGGGTTCAAACCCCACATGGGACGACACTTTGTGTGATCCACAAATGGTTGTTCTGAGTCTGGGTGTTCTTTGTGTCCGTTTCATGTATGTTTGTAAAGTCCCCCGCGACACAGGATTTATTCCTAATGCGGGAGTTGTCTTTTTCTTAAAAAAAAAAAAAAAAAAAAAAAGTACGCTGTCAGTATCTATCATCAGGGATGTTAGATTGTGGCCCAACTGTTACTGTTTTTTTTTATTGCTGGATGGCTGGTATTAGTCCGAACAATTCCTTGGAGCACTCCCCATGATATATGCGATAGAGAATGCAGAGTGAAGTCACATCTCCAATCTCCGATCGCCAAGGGATCGAGCCGATCGGGGATGTTTAGGCTATCGACGATTTGAGTCGCTCTTCGTTGGATGCGCTCCAGAGGGAGAAATTGGTACAGAGGTGCTCCTGCATAGAGATGAGAACAATATTCCATATGCGGCCGCACTTGCACTTTATAGAGCTGAATGCGATGGGCTGGAGTTAAATACTGCCTCGATCTGTTCAGGACACCGACCTTTTTAGAGGCCAATTCGACCTTACCCTCTAAGTGACCCCGAAACTGGACTTCGCTCGATGTTGCTAAAAGGCTAAAAAAACTGGTATTTAAATAGTACACTCGCAATAACGTTATATTATATTAATAAAAGTAATAAAACCAAAAAGTTTATTTTGTATGTTCTTTTAAATGAACTTTGAATTTTCGAAGAAATTCTTGTTTATTTGAAAAAAAAACCATACCTGATAAAAAATTTACAATAGTAGTTAATATTAATAATAGGTCTTTACCTATGAAATTGCCGTTTTGTATGCAATAAGTGAAAGTACTTATTTTTTCAAACTTTTTTATTTCTGTTATTCGAAGTAATCACCCATGCAATCGACGCATCTTTGCCAACGCATTTGCAGATGATTGATGCCCTTCTTATAAAAATCAGCTGGACGGGAGGCAACAAACTCTTTAAAGGCATTTTGTACTGCCTCTCGGGAATTGAATTTTTTACCCACTAAAAAGTTTTCTAAATTTTGGAAAAAGTAATAGTCGGTAGGTGCAAGGTCTGGTGGTCACATCTGCAACCAGCTTTTGTCAATCGGTCGTCAGACAGTCTCCAAGCTGCAAGAGCTGGGGTTGGAAGCTCTCCCTCATCCGCCATACTCACCAGACCTTGCACCTACCGACTATTACTTTTTTTTAAATTTAGACAACTTTTTAGTGGGTAAAAAATTCAATTCCCGGGAGGCAGTACAAAATGCCTTTGAAGAGTTTGTTGCCTCTCGTCCAGCTGATTTTTACAAGAAGGGCATCAATAAACTGCCAATGCGTTGGCAAAGATGCGTCGATTGCATGGGTGATTACTTCGAATAACAGAAATAAAAAAGTTTGAAAAAATAAGTACTTTCACTTATTGCATACAAAACGGCAATTTCATAGGTAAAGACCTAATATTATAACTAATAAGTGTTATTCTCATTAATCGTTGACATTTTTATAGTTAGATCTTATAAATGTCCATTCATAATTTGAAAAAATAAAAAAAATGAACCGTTAGTTACATTGACCGAATTTTCATGTTATTTTCTGACAAAATTATACCCGTAATCCATAAATAATAAGCTCGATTAATAAAGTCAATCTGAAGTAAGTTGCTCAATAGATCATACCTAAATATCATTATGAACAGTAAATTTTTACAATAATCAATGTTGTAACCATGACAGAATACAGCAAGATATTTTTAGATACAAAAAAGAAAAAATGTATGATCAATGAAGAAAGTTTGTATAATTGCGTACTACGAGCATAATTTTTACTATAAAATATTATTATTATCATTATTATTTTTTACTTGGTATTTGGTACAAATTCTTCAAAAATAGTACGTATACCAAAAAATTGCTATGTCTACATCCCTTTCTGTCATTGAAAGAAGTAGATTATGTATAATAATACAATACAAGTATTTCTATGTACCCTACTTAGATGGAAGTTGGTAGACACATATTATATGAAATTAAATACATACTATCTTTCATATAAAAGATTTAAGAATGAAAGTAGCTAAGTATTACTAACAGACTTTAAATGTATTTAAATTCATTAAATCTTTTGTACTTGAGACAGTTGACGGAACGATCGAAATAGTTTGGCAACATTATAATCGAATGTGAACGTTCTTTTGGCTACTTTATTTAGTTCGGTTTGGTCGGTCGTCGGAATTCTGAATTGTGGTGAATTTCGCTATGCTCTTGTATGATTTAAAGTAATGCAAATCGAATTAGAATATTCTTTCATTGTATTGTGACTACAGTGTGACTATTGAAGATACCCGGATCCAGATACAGAATTAGACTTTCATATGTACGTATTTCCCCTAAGTTTCATCATTATAATGTTGGTTATTTTCCTGAATGATGTCAACTTTTGATTTGATACTTTCACTTTGAACCATTTGATAAATTGATTTCGAAGATGTTTTGTAATTAACTGTAACTCCCTTACAAACAAAATATTGGATGCACTGTAAACAGTTAACACACAGTTGTGTATCAAA